ATCATGAACTAAAACTGGAAGTTCGTTTAGAATACTAAAAGATCTTCCTCCAAGTCTACTTTAAGAAACTCCAGGAACTTCCAGTAAACCTGCAATTTGTGAGTAAATTGCTACATGGGGCAACCAAATCTGTGATGTATGATAAAGCTTGATTATTAAAAGCTTTAAATGCATGGCTACTGCAAATGTGTGAATGATTTATTGCTCTTCAATGTATCCAGTACATTTCATTCTAATAATGGTCCAACAGGGTCCTGTTTGAGCCAAAGACACAGGCTTATGCAACAGTAGAAATGCTGAAGTTAATATATGCCACAGTATCTCCAAGCAAATAAAGTAATTGCAGTGGACTGAAAGAATCAAATCAGACATGCTCTTAAATTTGAACTATGGACTGGTCATAAATAGTCATCATTAACAGTGTCAGGAAAACATTACCCCTTTTTATGAGGGCAGTATTTTCCTCACATAGTACAATAAAGTTAATGACGGACATTGTTTGAACCATAAAAGTGTCATATTTTGGAGATGCCGATTGGCTTCAACAAGGCCAAGTAGCATCTGGCTCATTCATCACATTTTTTCCCTATTGAGTATCTTTCTCCAACTTGTCCTGAAAATCAAAATGGAACAATCTTATGCAGAACTGCAGGATGATTTCATAGGATGTTTTGGGGAAGATGCTTGCAAAATCATAATGTGAAACATGAATTAAGGATGTGAAACTCCCAAATAAAAATAATGTCACTTTCAGTGCTGTAGCGGTTTTAAAACAAAGAATCTAATCTTTTATTGTTTGTTTTTGGAGCCTGAAATTAATTTCTAAACAGGAAAGTGATGATAAAAAAGGGGGAGTTTTGATTGTTAAAATACATTGTAGCTTATCTGCAAGTTACTTCAGAAAGGAGAAAGCTAAACATTACGTTTTTATAGTGTTGGCTTAAACAAATTACCTTTTTCAGTTTCATGCATCAATGCTGTTTAAATATACTTTTAATACTAACTGTATTAAAAGTGCATACAGTACCATAAGGTGATCATATAAACTGCTGAAAGCCACATGCAATGATACGAATTGGTAGCCTTTATTTGAGCAAAATAAACATGTTAAGCAATGTAATTAATTAAATCTCAAGCAAATATTACAAAATAACTGCAACATGACATATTTTTAAAGCACACTGTATTTTAACATTGCAATATAGCTGAATATTTTTGCGGGGTTTGATTATGTTAAATCTGATTTCTTCTGGGAAAAAGGATAAGATAAGAGAGGCATGTTAAATTGAATCAAACTAAATTAGATGGAGTTCTTAAAAATGCTTCAAGGTGAAAAGATTTATTAAAGTACTATATTACATAAACCTTTCATCCTTTCATTTTATATATATATGAGAACAGTAAGTTAACATTTAGCACACTTGTTTTGAATCAAGTAGGCATTTCATCTTTGGGCATTACTGCTGTGTTTCTCATTTTAATCAGTAGAGGGCGACATTTTATATATTTTTTAACTGAGTCTAACAGAAAGATGTAAAAGAACCATACAGTACTTCTGTTATGATTGAATTCAAGTCATTTATTAAAAAGTGCAACACTTTGTTCCACTTAATATATACACCTGAACCTCAGATATGTATTCATAGTATGTATGGTAACCATACATACTATAAATACATATCTGAGGTTCAGGTGTATATATTACAAAATAGGATGCCCAGAACCATACTATGGTTCTGGGCATCAGGGAAACTGACATAAGAACAGTCTTGGAAATTATTATAAAGATGAATAGAAATCAAACACAGTAGGAATACCCAGTTTTACAAGTTAATAACACAATTGCAGTTTCAAACCAGGAAAAAAAAAGCTGAAATGTTGGGAATACACTTTTGCATGAGCCATAGCTCAGAGAATACAGCACGAAAGGACAGAGGAGACAAAAATATTTACTAGAAATGTAACATTTATTAAACCGATATCACAAAGCATCAGACCTGCTAAAAGTAGCATTTTTAAAATCAGAATTAAATCAAGCAATAAATAATTTTAAGGAATCTGCACCAGACAAGAATCAGATCTATTGTACAATGATATATCATCTGATTTGTCTAAAGATTTATTGCTAGGGTTGTATAATAAGATATGGGAGAAAGGGGAAATACCACAGAGCTGGAAAGAAGCCATAATCATTCCAATATTCAAGCCAGGAAAAGAAAGCACCAATACAGGTAGTTACAGACTACGAATACGGTAAAAATGATAAACAATAGATTGACAAACTATATAAGAACAAAAGGTTATTTAGCTAATTACCAAAGTGGTTTAAGGAAAGGGAGGGATACCATGGATCCATGTTCATGTTAAGAACAGGAAATAATCAGGGTACAGGTATATGGAGAAAGTGATGTAGCTGTCTTTTTATATATAAAAAAGGCATAAAATACTGTATGATGTGGAAGGAAGTACTGTTGATAAAACTTGGTGAAATGTGTTTGAATGGATCAAAATGTTTTGTTGGGCAGAAGTATTCAAATCAAGATAGGAATGTGCTTTTCTCAAAAACACTTTGTTGAGGATGGCACACCTCAAGGAAGTATTGTGAGTCCTTTATTATTTTCTATAATGATTAATGATGTGTTTAATGAAATTGAAAATGTTTTCTTTATTTGCAGATTATGGGACGATTTGAAAAAGAGGAAATAACTTGTTTTTTTAGTGAAGAAATTACAAGGGGCTGCTAGGAAAATAGAAGATTGGTCATATAAATAGGATATTAAATTTTCTTTCGATAAAATGAAGGCGATGTTCTTTGCAAGGAAAACATTCAAGGGTAAGTTATAACTCTTTATAATCAGGATTTGGAGAAAGTAGAATGCTTTAAATTTTAGAGGGTAATGGTTGGATGAATAATTAGCATGGATGATTCACGTTCAGAAAGTCTCAGATAAATGTAAAAAAGCAAGTATAACAAGATGTTTAGTAGGAAGTAGTGAGTAGATCAGATGCAGATAGAGCTGCTTTAAGGCGTATTTATGATTAATAAGGTCAGTTCTAGACTATGAGTGTGTGGTATTTGAAACAGGTTCCTAAAACTTCAATCACATTCAATTTCAGGCATTGAGACTTTGTACAGGAGCATTAAGGACAACTTCTGTTGCAGCTTTACAGGTAGAAATGGGTGAAGTCCAAGCAGATCACAACTTTTTTTAAAGCTACTGGGCAGGTCTACAGAGTCACAATCAATGTTATCCATTTCCAAGCACTCTAAAACCATGCTGGAAGAAAGAGAGAAGAACAATTCAATTCAATTTAATTCAGTTTATTTATATAGCGCCAATGCACAACACATGTCATCTCAAGGCCCTTTACAATTCAACCAGATCATACAGTCAAATAGATTCAAAGTTTTCTATTTAAGGAAAATCAACTGATTACATCTACTCATTGACTCAAATGCAATCCCTCAAAGTTCCCTCAAATGCTTTGGATGGGAAGCTGAACAGATATCTGCAGAACTTGAGTTGATTAACTGGGAATTATTCCAATAATTATTTTTCCAGTGATACATCCATGGATTCACCCTGAAGCTAATAGAGACATTTTCACTTCTTAACAGGATGAAAGACAAATAGTTTAGTTTAGAAGCTCAAACTATGCAAAACTATATTAATAGTTATCATAGATATGCTCAGATTTACACAGATGCATCAAAAGATTTATGACAAGATAGGATTAGCATTTATTAAAGGACAACTTTGTGTGTCTAAAGGTAATAGGGTTAGTGATGGATATCACTGGAGAATTGCTGGCCATACTTTTTGCAGTTCAATGAATTGAAGAAATCAGACTATTTAAAAAAAAATCTTGCTCAGATTCTAGTTCTTTTTTTTTTTACAAACTTTATATAATAGTAAGTCAGAGAGCAGATCAGATATTATTTTAGAGATAAAGCAGACTTTATATACAGTAAAAAGAACGGGACTAGTGGTGGTGTTTTTTATGAATTCCAGCACATATTGGGATACATCTCTGCTGGATAATGTCTCCCACTCCAATGCATGAAGCTGTTGCAGAACTGGAGAGCTCCTTCAGTGTCAGACTACTGCACCCTAAATGCACCAGGGATCATTATCACAGATCCTTCCTCCCAGCAGCTGGAAGACTTTATATCCATCACTGTTCCCAACAACCTTAAAAAGTTGTTGCATTCATGCTGATTTTACACCGTTTCTACCTTAGTCAGTTAAATAAAATGCTGCTGACATTTTGCTCATCTCTGATGTTGCTGATATTTTCAAATATCCATTACTGTAAAAATGTCCAAAGCTGTATATTGGTTATTTATCCTCCAGGTGCACAGTATTTTATTTTGTTATTTTTTAACTCTTTGCAATTATGTTATTCTATACACTTTTCTACACTTTTCCATAATATTTTTGCTTCTGAAAACACCATAATTGCCCCATTGTGGAACAATAAAGGGATTTTCTAGTCTATTCTATTGTATTTTATGGAAATGAGATGGAAGATAAAATAGCAAAGGAAGATGCAAAGAATAATGCAAGTGATATTTAAATACATTTCGAGATTGAACAATATTTAAGAGGCAGAAACAATGGCAAAAAGAACAAAATGGGCGATGGTTTGATAAGAGATAAGATACAGAAGAAACAATAAAATCAATCATCAGATTTGGACAGAATAGGGAAACATCACTCAGGAAATTGTGACTTGTGTGAACAGAAAGAAACTGTAGAGCATATCATATTACATGGGAGAAAATACAATTTAATAGGAAAACATTGAAAATATCAAAACAAGATAGACAGAAAAAGTTTTATGGAATAAATGTTTCCCTTTAATACTGCAGTTTCTTCTGAATACTGGATTATAAGATAGGATTTGGATTATTTATAAATTCATTAAGTTTATTACAGTTTTTTGTATTATTTTTGCATAAGGTATTAAAATCCTGCTGCACACGCAAATTAACAACGTCACGTGACACAGCCAACATCTCCGCCCGGCACATCTGCAAAATGGAGGTAAGATGCTGCTAGCATAAAAAAAATATATATATATATATGTGCATATATGCCCATATAAAACCGTTTCTATTAGTTTAAACAGTAATATTTAGTTTAGGAAAAGCTACATGGCGCATGCAGTTATTCACTGCTTCTCGGTTCTTCACTATATCAGCTCGGCCTTTGTAACGCTGGTTTTAGCTAGCATTTATGCTAAGCTAATGGCTAACAGTGTAGCTGTAAGCAAATATTATCTCCTTAATCGATGCCGAAACCTAACTATCACGGGCATCTACATGTATGTGTGTGGTTTATAAGTTGGTATTTAAACTAGCGGCTCATTCGCACCCAAAAGAGACACGTTAGCTACTGCTTTAACCATGCTATAATGTCACAGCAGCCATTTTGACTAGAAATGCGAGATAAAGGCAGGTGCCTCTACTTCACTTAATTAGCACTTTAGCAGAATGCCTGGATGAATGTAATTGATTCCTACGGGTCTTAATAGAGTCATTTAAATCTATCAGCCTCCTCCTGTTAAAGTCAACCACTAGTATTAGCCTATATTAACAGAGGAGTTTCATTTGGTTCGTGTACCATCTTTATTAATATATGGTAATATATGACTGTCTATATTTGCTGCTAAACAGCAGTGGGGTTCTTTGGTATAAAACTTTGGAAGGAGGCAGGTATCCTATTTAGTCTGCAGTTTTTATTGCCTTCATTACATTACACCCACTGTTCATTTTTGTACCTTCATACAGAGATATGTTTAGAAAAGGTAGCTTAAAATATTACATACATTAAATACTTATAATATAGAGGTTGTGTTAATTTAAACAGCTTCGAAATGTTAAAAAATCAGGTGAATTACTTATTTAAAGTCATAAAGAGAAGACTCGTATTCTTGAATGTGTTTTCTCCAGTCTTTTTTTTTTTTTTTTTAGTAGTTAGCATTAGGGCTGCAACTAAAGATAATTTTGCAAATTGATTAATCTGTTGATTATTTTTTCGATTAATCAATTAATATTTGGATAGCTAGTTTCCTTAAAGAACATTTTTTATGAAATTAAACCAGGTGAAACCAAAACATTTCCGCTTTTAGGACTTCTGGATAGAGCATATTGACAGACAAAATGCTGTTTTTTTTTTTATCCTAAATAAAAAATATTTGTTTTTTACAATTTTGTTGTAATTACTGCTCCAAGTGGGTCGTTTAAGACATGTTTTACAGTCTTTTACAGTGTCTATACTCAAGTTAATGATTAATCGATTACTAAATTAGTTGACGATTATTTCAATAATCGATTAATCCGATTAATTGTTTCAGCCATAGTTGGCATTACTATACAGGTTGGCCCTGTGAGTCTGTTTGAAGTCAGGCAGAAGTTTTTAATTGTCTAAAATTAAAAAAGTTGTCACTCTTACTGAATACTTATGTTCAATAAAAAAATAAATATATATATTTATATAATGTATGTATATATGTGTGTGTGATGTGTAATATATAAAAAAAAAGCATTCAAAATTAACACTAGATTGAAAATTGATATACTGTCTAAAGGCAGTATACTGGACCACCACTATTAAGACTAAGAGATGGCAAACTATACTGTAAACTTCATCAGCATTATTATCTGGATTTACTCAAACGTATTTTAATTTTTATACAGTATTGCAAATAATATTTGCATATTAATGTGTTGTTTTTGTTGAGAATAAACCTTGGCAAATTTTAATAGAACTTAGTGTGATGTTTAAGACCGGTTTTTAAAATAAAAAAAACATTTTATTACCTATTTATATTTTTCCTTTTAAGTTTGTATCAATTAAAACGCTATTAGGCCGCTATAACAAAGGTACAAACCTCTGGATGTGTCAAACATGCTCATGTTTGACACTTGCTTACAATTTTTCTTAATAAAGAATCAACATGGGTTCTCAAAATTCCAGTTGAATATGGTGGGTAAAAAAATAAGAAGATTTTTGAGGGGATTTTATTGCCAGAATGCAAAATAGCAAATGCGTTCTTATCAACTTAACGCCTAGCTGCAGGCAATAGGGCTTTGCAATGTTGGGCAGAAAGAGCTATTTATTTTAATGTATAGACATAGCGCTTAATCGGCTGCGTGTCTCTGTGGCTGCCATGAGCTACTGATTGGGTTAACAGTTACACCAACGTGTGATAACAGCGTCGCACATGCAATGATATCTTCAGTGGCGCAGCAACTTTACACTGCAGTTAAGGCACCATAAATTTTACAATTTGCTCTTTTGATAAATGATCTCGGAGATGGTCAGCAAAGCTGAGTTGTTTTCTGTTTTCTTCCAGAGAAAGAGTGCTGCACCTGATTTGAGCTGTTCTGAAACAAACATTACAGTTTAGTGTCTCAAGACCAAAACTTTATTAAAATGAAAGTAGAATAAAATTCCTTCCTGTAATGTGATGCGGGTGTTTTAAGGGGCATGTAAAAACCTGTAAAATGCTGCAACGGCACACAGTGAGAAGCAAAATGGATGTTTTGTAAACCTGGAATATAACAGCCTTGTTTTTTTTATTTATAGTATAATTGCTTTTATTGTTCATCAGTGGGGCTGGAGAATTTTGCCAAAAATCAAAAATGCGATTATTTCCAACCAATATAGCGATATTTATTGCGATAATCCTTTGCACTAAGCACAAACATGTCGATATTTGACTCCAAGGTTTCAGCTTTTTAATAACCGTAAAAGGCTGCTTGTCCAGAGTCCAGTGTGGTAGGACTTTACTGTAAATTTTTCATAAACAACTTCTTACTTCTACTAAAATGCATTTATCTAGGTCCTAGCTACAACACTGTCTGTGTGACGGCATACCCACTTTAATGGTATTACTGCTACCAAAAGGCTAGGGGGAGAAATTTTGTGTCTTACTCTAGTTAAATGTATTGTGACTAAAATTGAGCACTTCTGCGTTTTAAAAATTGCATTTTTCTAAATTGCGATTATATTCCAAATGAAATTAATTGCCCAGCCCTATTCATCAGTATGAAGATAGTAATCCTGTTTAATATTTTAACTCTTTTGTTTGTACCCTGTTTGTTTATAAAGCATCAGTGTGCGCTAGGTAGTATTAGATTTCAATGTTGTTGCATTTTTTTTTTTTTCTTTTTTAACTGCTGAAAGTGCAATATTTTGGTTTTGAAGACCTGCTTCTCCTCACATGACCTTGTCCTGCATTTCTGCTTGTGTTTTACTTTTTAAGGACTGTGAATCTAAAGAACCAGAGCAGCTCCGAAAGCTGTTTATCGGAGGTCTCAGTTTTGAAACCACAGAGGAGAGTTTGCGGGCTCATTTTGAGCAATGGGGATCTCTCACAGACTGCGTGGTTTGTAGTTTCATCGTAACGTGTTGAAGACTTTCCCACTTGATTAAAATCAAAAGCTGCTTACTTACCAGTAAACATATCTTTCTGTTTTTTATGTTGTGTTCAGGTGATGAGGGATCCTAACAGTAAGCGATCCAGAGGTTTTGGTTTTGTAACATATTCCTCTGTAACTGAAGTTGATGAGGCCATGAAAGCAAGGCCTCATAAAGTCGACGGGCGAGTCGTTGAACCCAAGAGGGCCGTGTCCAGAGAGGTAAAAGCATACATCATAAACTAGAAATGTTCTCACAGCTGTGTTGTTGTTGTTGGGGTTTGGCTCACTCACGCTCTCTTTAAGGATTCAAACAAACCGGGAGCACATCTGACGGTGAAGAAGATCTTTGTTGGTGGTATCAAAGAGGACACAGAGGAGCACCACATTCGGGAATATTTTGAGAAATATGGAAAGATCGACTGTATCGACATAATGGAGGAACGCTCCACAGGAAAGAAGAGAGGATTCTGCTTTGTCTCTTTTGACGACCATGACACTGTGGACAAAATAGTCGGTAGGCATTTTATTTAGATTTGAAAATTCAATTTTAATTAATAAACCAAAAGCCGTTGCAAATTATTTTTTTTCTCATCTTTCTCACAGCCCAGAAATACCACACAATTAACTATCACAACTGTGAAGTCAGGAAAGCTCTGTCAAAACAGGAAATGAATGCGATATCCAGTAACCGAGGTGAGCTCGCCATGAGATTTATTGTAAGACAGAAGCTGCTATTTTGGCCTGAATTGTAGGTGGCAGCTAAGTGCTGTAATTCATGTTTTTTCCCCTGTCAGGAAGGAGCGGAGGATCAGGAAATTTCATGGGCAGAGGTGGAAATTTCGGAGGTGGTGGCAACTTTGGTCGAGGTTTGTACACGTCAGATGAGACGAGGTTTTGAAACAAATAAATGCAGCAAATGTGTCATGTTACTCATTTTAGACACTGCTTTGGAAACGACCTACGTTTGTTTAGATATAGTCTGATCTATGAAAACACTGCAGCTTTTGACATGATGATGACTTAAATGTACTATTTGACTCCACTGTGTTCTTTCCTAGGGGGCTATGGAGGACGTGGTGGATATAATGATGATTTTGACAGTGGTATGAAATGCTACTTTCTCTCCTTTAAAACTAAAATCAGCAGCACTCCCAATATTTCTTCAATAAAACAGAGTTTAATTTGGATTTTTCAGAAGTTAAGTACTGAGAAATTATTAACAGAAACCAGTTTTTACTGAGTTTTTACAAAGATGACTCAGTCTTAGAGTTGTGATGGGTTAATGGCTTTTTCAAAACAACCATCAGTTTGAACTTATTTTATGTATTAAAACAGATTAAACTATGTTTGATCTTAAATGTTTTTAAGAATAACATTTTCAGCTCTATCAGACTTATAAATCTAGGACACTTAAGAGAACACTCAACATTTGGATTTGGGTTTAGCTAGTATTTCACCAGTGACATCTCAGTTCATCCATCCAATCTGGTTACAAGGAGGATCAACAGAGCCAGCAGACTAAGTGCTGTAATGCTTTAATAACAGCATTGTTTGGCTTAGAAAAAATGGGGGGAAAAACAGAACACAGGTTTCCTGTAAAAGCCCAACCCACACTTTCATAAAGTCTGGGCTCCAGTCTGGACTAGAGTGAAACTAGAGTTCAGAAAATGTAAACAAAACAAAAAAACAAACCGGACTTATCTTGGAATTTGAGGATTTGATCTGAACAAATCAGACAGTTTCCAACAAATTGTGTATATATATGCAGAGTTAAAAGGAGCCTGCTGTGCTGACAGCTGCTCCTCTGTCTGCCTGCTCATCTGATGTTATAAGCTCCAGCTCAGACCCAGTGGGAAAAGACTGACTGACTACAGCAACACATGGAGCTGGAACCCCTAATGATAAAAGCATTTTAAATAATAACTTCATTTATGACGCAGAAGAATATTCTTTTCCTTGGCTTTGTCCTCATATATTTAATAAGTATCCCAGATTTTATCAGTAAGGCTTAAAAACAGATGGAGGACAGGATCCAATATTAGCCTGCAGTTGCTACAAAATTCCTTTAGTTTTTTCTATTGAACCATTGAAATAATATACACTAATCGCATGACTTGATCATTTTTAGACTTAAAGAGTATTACTTTACTTTGTAAAGCTTGGCAAAAACAAAATGGAACAAGATGATATCAAAAAAAAGTTTCTACGGCTCATTAGAATTATACAGGGGCATGTTCTATGCTAGGGATTGTATGAGCTTTTGGTAGACAGAGATTACCAAAGTTGATTTGGTAAATTATGCGCCTGAATATACACCAGCTAAAAACTGAACCCTCACTACATTTTTGGGCATCAGAAGAGCTGAGAGTCACTAATGTCTCTTTTTGTGATCTTTAACATTATCTAGAAACAAATATAGACCTGTTTTTTATAGATTTAAAAGTTATGAACGTTACTGTATTGAGTTTGAGTTGTTTAAGATGGTTAAAGCCATGTACGGTGACTGCATTGGTACCAACAGGTAGATTGGTGTGGCAAACAAGAGAGAGACCCTCATCCACTATAGTTGAATAAAAATAATAATTTCCACAAGCTTGAGTTAAACTGTTACTGCTAATAATCTCTCATCATAAAATCCAAACTAATCCTTTCACTCTTTGATGTTGTCGTAGAGTAATACTTTAAGCGATAAGGTTATACTGGATTCCTTATCCTTTGTTTTCCCAGGTCCAGGAGGAAACTATGGCGGAGGACCTGGTTATGGAGGTGGCCGAGGGGGTTACGGAGGTGGTGGTCCAGGCTACGGAAACCAGGGGGGAGGCTACGGTGGCAGTGGTGACGGAGGTTATGGAGGTAGTCGAGGAGGTAATAATGTTATCCCCTCCAAAATATATATGCAGATTTAGGTGTATGAATTGCAGATATTTCTACTTTAAAATTGTTACAACTTTTCAGGATATGGCGGAGGAGGAAACTATAACGACTTTGGAGATTATGGTGGACAGCAGTCAAACTATGGGCCAATGAAGGGAAATAACTTTGGTGGCAGGAACTCTGGTGGACCCTATGGTGGTGTGTTTTACTCTCTAGCTAACTGTGTATAATCTAGACTTAAATGTAAGAAGAGCGTAATTTTATGGTGACTAAACCTTCATTCCAGGCGGCTACAACTCCGGAGGCAGTGGTGGAGGCTACGGCTCCCGGCGGTATTGAACACAGCATGTTTTTGGTAAGTTGTGTTTCGTCTCACTCCAGCCTCGTAGCACAGTACAGAGTGAGCCCATGAAAGTGCAGATTAACTATTTGTTCTATCCTGTATCCATTCAACAGGCTTCAGTTCTTAGCAGGAGAGGCGAGGAGGTGAGCAAAGGAATTGTCAGGAAAGCTGCAGGTTACTTTGAGGCAGTCATCTGAAAGCATTAGAGGAACACAGAAGTCAGACTTTACTGCAGCTAAGTCGGAGAAGTGAAAGGAAGAAGGACTGTAAGAACAAGACATGAGTGCAGATGATGCCCTTCCCTAATTGTGGTAGATGTTTCCCTGCTGAGAAAGTTTTCCTTTTTTCTGAGTCTAAAGTGTGTGTATTGTTCCAATGGTATCAGGGGTAAAGCGCTTTTTTTTCTAAACTGAAGTCCTTTTTTATTTTTTACTTTCTTTCTATATGGTCAGGTTTTTCTGCTGGCCAATAAGTTATTTGTCTCCAATTCAGTTGTAGTTACACCAGGCCCTTAGATCAGCCAGAATTTCTTCTCTCTGACTTTACATAATTTGATGATTGCAAGTGTCAAGTGTATTTTGATTATTGTATGTAAAGCAGTGTGTAAACCCTTCATAGTACCGGTGTCAACAAGTGTAAAGAGCCTGAATTAGAACCAAGGGAATCCCTCGCTTTTTGTCCCCCCCTCCCAAAAAAACAATAACAGATTCTAGATTGTTCACATATTTTCATTAGTAGATCCAAGACTAAATAAAATTGTGTAGTAAAGTAACAAGAGGTTTGGTGCATTATTGGTTCAGCAAAGGTTTGAACGACTCAGATTATTGTCTTTCCATATCATTGTAATGTTGGTGCAGCATGTTTAACTTCACTGTGGAGGTTTTCAAACTACAGTATTCTCTCCCATTTTGTCACATTACAACCACAAACTTGCATGTTTTGTTTGGGTTTTGTTTTTGTCAAATTTATATATTATAGACCAATGCAAAGAATCACATAATTATGAAAGTAGAAGCAAAATATTTGATAATTTTTAGATTTTGTACTCACCAAAAATTTTGAAAATGTGGCATTCATTTGTATTTAACCCCATTTACTCTGCTGAAAAACATAAATTCAACCAATTCAATTAAATGGTAAATAGAAGACACCTGTAGCTCAATTTGTGAGGGAGCATTTCTGATAAAAAATATTATTATGAAAACAAAGGAAAACGGCACTTGATCAGAGAGAGGGTTATAAAAACAACAACATGAAGTGAAACTGAACTCCTGAAGAACCGAAAGCAGACAAAGATATGCCAATCCACCCAAACTGTCACGTTGGTTGAGAAGATTAATCAAACGCATTGTTTCTATAGAGGAGCTGCAGAGACCCACAACTCAGGTGGAGAATCTGCCTATAGATGTAAGAGCTACATCCCCACTGCAGGTAAAATGGCTCAAATCTTACTTTGACAGCGGATAGCACAAAATATTAAATAAATCAGATTGCATTTTTATGTTTTGCTCCAATTGCACAACAAATATTGGTTTTAATCATGTCTTTAATTAGACAGCTCATGCTGATGTCTAAACGCAGTCACCTTAAAGTTATAATCTGAATATCTCAAAACCTTAGCAATAAACAATTAAAAAGACATACAGTGCCTCAATTTTGCTCTCTTTTTATAATAATGGCTATTAGAGCTATTTATGAACTCGACACAAATGCTCTGACAAGATGAGACCAAGATTAGTTTTTATTCCAAATGTAACATAATTCCCACAGTGAAACTTGGTGGTGGTGGTGTCATGCTGAGGTATAGCTTTTCTTTAGCAGGGACAGAAAAGCCGCCTGTCCATGCAGCAAGGTGGCTCAGGGTGGCTAAATACAAATATGCCATGGTTTTCAGATTTATAGATGTAAACTTCACCCTAATTATCGTCTTTGTGTTGGCCTGTCAATCAAGTAAACGTATATAAATAAGGTTTGTTGTTGTAAAGGTACAAAATCTAATAAAAGGAGAAAAAAAAGGGTTAAGAGTATCTCTGGGTATCTGTGGTGTGTATGTTTTTATCCAGTGTTTTTACTTGTTCATGCATGTAGGGTCAATATAAAGGGAGGTTCTGGGTTTGGAGAACAGCTCATACACAAGACAGTGTTGGAGGGTTTGGGTAGATTGACTTTGGACGCTTCCACCTCCTGCAGTTTGGTCCTCAGCATCGCTAGTGTGGAAGGATTGCAAATGACTTTCAGACAGAACACCTTCATCTCCCCCAGCACAGTGGACCAGTCAGCAATTTGAGAGAGAAGGGAGAAGGCAGCACGGAGAACAACACCCATGGAAGAAGCTTGCAGTGTCGTTCCTGGTAGTGAGCATCTTTCTCGTTTCCAAGGCTAGCTAAGCCCCTCAGCAGATGGTGCTAGCGAAGAAAGACTGAAGATCCTGTTGAGTGAGATACAGCAGTTTAACCTGCAAATTCTAGATGTCAGACATTAACAAGAGAAGGGAGCGAGTATTTCACAAAAAGCTGACTTGAGACGATGAAGCAGGTAAGAGTAACCACTTTGCTTGATTTACAGATGTGGAAATGGGCATTCTCTTCTTGCTGAAAAGCTGTAAAGACCTGATAACATGGAAGGTTCTGGATGGGTAAGACATTTTCTTTGACATTATCCAAGGTTTTATTATGTTGAGGATTTGTGTCCTAAAGATGACAGAATGATGCAGTTGGTTCCCTCTCATTGTCAGCCAGAACTTTGTAGTAACATAGCACATCTTACATGGGGAGATAAATCTTTATTGAAAGCGATCTAAATTCTGTCACATCCCTGTGCAGAGAACGGGTTTTGAGGGGATTGGCTTCTGTTTGAATTATGTCCACTGTATTGCTGCTCAGTCTTTATCTGTTTGGCCTAATTAAAAAAGAATAATTAAAATGGAAGCCACAAAAGCATCCAGGTAAAGTAACATTTTAGGTAATCGACAAAATTTGATTTTATTATATTAACCAACCCGCCTAAGGCTTAATTACATTTTCTGTTATATAGATATGCAGCATTTTCATTGAGGTGCTGTCTGACGCCTAATGTTTAATATTGTAACACGTTAGAAAACCAGAAAAATTACATGTTTAAAGCTTCTTAATCAAATTAACACAATTATTTATTTAGTTTAATTTATCTGGCCCCTAAAAAATGCAGTTTGTAACTTCTTTAAATTTGCAATAACCCCTAATTTAGGCCAAAAACGGCAGTATGCCAAACAGGTTGAGACTGATCTGTTTTGACAAACGGCGTCCCCCCACGTGCGGCTGCCAGACAGTTTTATAGTGGCATGTGGAACAGTCTGTTCTCAACAACGTTCCTCAGCTCAACACCAGCATGTCAGTGTAGATGAACTGCTCTGATTTTCATGTGAAGTGTAATTGGATTTTTTTTTTCTTTTTTAATAAACACTTTTTTTCTATCAGTGGTTTCGTTTTGAATTTAAAACCCAGTGTGGAATGACTGTCTTCTGATTTGCCGTGTTTTCTATTCTACTTTAACTTCTTTATTAATATATTTGTATATATAATTTAAAAATCTTGTCTTAAGGCTAACCACTTTTACTTGACTTTCACCTGGAAAAGTCTATTAAATTTTAAACAGGTCACAAGACATTGGTCTGTTACATAATGTTTGAACTTTAGAATACCTTTTATCATTTTAAAACAAATCAGTTAAAGGTTTTTCATTGTATAGTTTATTTGTAAGCTCATAACATCACCCACTATTAACTATTAAACTATGACCTTTCTCAATTTATATGCTTCCTTTCCATCAGCATTAATGATAAATCAATAGTTTTTAGGTGTAAGAACATTTGCTCTTAGTGCACACTTGATATAGATTACAGATAGATAACTTTGATAAATACAATTGATACTAGATTTTTAAACTATACAACAACCCTTTTTAATTATCTAAAACTAAACTGCAAGTTGTTTCCTTTATTTAATTAGGGTAATTTAAAATGCCATAATGTATACAGTAGGGAATATTTTTATTTAACATTATTTAACTTTTATCTTACATTTGCTTGGAAATTTATCAGCAATATTAAGCATTTATAAACTTATAACTTGGATCAAATGTTTATCCTTTCAGTAAGCTTGTCCCAGTAGTTTGCTGGAACTTTGGCCCATTCCCCCTAACGGCGGTACTTGCTGATTGGATGAATGGGGATGAGCTGTTACAGCCACTATTGATAAAGGGAGTTGCAGCTATCTTGAATAAAGTTAGTTCTCGTTGTCTACTACTAGACTTCTATATTTACATTTGAAGACTTTTATTTTTTTGTCCAAAGATGTCCCTGGGTTAATATCTAATGAGGCAGAAGTTAAAAACTTTAATCTGTTTTGCATTGCATTAAACTCAAAGCTGGTTTTGAAAGTTGAAATCTGAGGGTTCCAACTCTAAATGTTATTTCTTGATGTCTCTCTCAAACCGCTCTGTCTAAAATATTAACATTTTGCCCTCAGAAGAGTGTCCCTTGTCCCTAAGGTGTCCGTGCACATCTTTTCCTGAGGAACTGGCTCTCCTGCGCTGACCCTTACGTTTATAGAAAGACTCTTTGATTGTTCCAGTATAGAGTTCTGGGCATTCCTCATTGCACTTAAGCACATACACCATACCATTCAGTGTTTTTTGTTTTTTTTTTATCCTGGACAAGCTTTCAAATACAAAAAGCCCAGCTTTGAGTCAAGAAAAAAAACCTCACATTATGATAAGATGGATGTCTTAAATCTCAAATAGATTTCCTAAAATCACAATGGAAAAAAAAAAAGTCATAATTTTCTAAAAGCAGAAGATTCTGATGTCATTAAGCTGCTCCCTTCTAAACTTAAATCTAAAGTGTTCACAAACCGGGCTTGGTGATCAAAGGTTCAGTTGTATCTGAACATAAAAGAGTGATCACAGGTCAGACTGATTACGTAGCCTTTTACCTTTATTTTCCCAGCTTATTGCTCTATTGTCAAGCTGTCACGCAGGAATCACACTGAGCATGCTCTGATGTTGCCAGGGACTGTTCTCTTTGTTGTGCAACACAATGATTGGGGTGGGTATGATCTTCAGGCCAGGAGCAACTGAATTGAAAGAGTCCAGTGACTGTACAAACAAAAGCTTGCTCTCATGGAAGCAGAGCAGATTAAGAGCAGTCATTCTTTTGTTTTCATGCAAAATCCATCTTACTTGCTGTTTTTTTTATGACTCTTAGTAAAACCTCAAAGTTAAGAATTGACTTTAACCGTGTGGTTTGTTGCACAACAGTTCATTAGGCTCTTTATGTAGTTGCTGTCCATCTGTTTTGGGCTGTGGCTATGACAGAAAGCAGAATGTTGTGTTTAAATCATGAAAAAACAAAACAGGCTTTTTTGATATTTAGTTTATTTAAAAGCATAGAAGATGGGATAAAAAAAACTGGGCTTCAATCAAGAGGTAAGTTATAAAAGAAATAATTCATTAATCATGAGTATACAGAAATATATTTATATTTATATACATACACACAAATATATATATATACATACACAGGTACAGTAACATTCTTAATCTGAAAAGCAAGTAATGTTTGTATTTACAAAATATTGGTGAAAGAATCTGTAAGGATATAAGAGTATAAAAGTAAAATATCAAAAAACATTGCAACATTCAAGAGGAGTAAGCAGAAACTACAACAGTTCTGTCAAGCTGCTAAAGTTTAAAGCTGAGTGAATACAAAGTTATTGCATAGTATCCTATTATGACGCAGTACCGGGTTACAAAGGAGACGGGTGGTTTTCTTTGCTCTTAAAAGTCTTTTTTATGCGAGGGACGAGGAAGACGCTGCCATCTGTGGACTGCTGCAGGGAGTAGTCTGACGAAGAGTAGGAATTTCCGTGCTCATCTCTCAGCATGCTGAAGACCTCCAGGTACAAGCTGTTCAGCTGTTTCTTCATCTCCTTCAGGTTCTTCATGTTCTTGGTCTTATCATTCAGCAGGCGGTCTCGCTCCTCCTTTAGCGAGTCCAGTTCGCCCTCCAAGCCTACGATGTTCTCCATCTTGCGCTTGCGGCAGTTCTGCGCCGCCACCTTGTTCTTGCCACGGCGGCGGATGTCGCGGACCAGGGCCAGCTGAGCTTCGTTCAGTTGGTGTTTGGACATCAGCTCATTGAAGTCATCCACTGGCAGGTTGATAATCATGTCGACAGTGAAGGGGATGTTGAGGGTCTTGGCCCTCTGCTCGTCTCGAGTGAGACGCACATCAGAGCGTTTTTTGGCTTTGTCTTTGGTGAAAGGAGTGCCCTCATTGCCGCTTTCCTCCGCCGGGTCCCCCTCGCGCTGTTTAGGTTTCTTTTCTGGCTGCTGCGGCGGTCTGCTTAGCTCCGTGACCGAATTGGACGCCATAAAGTGTTCAGGTTCAAAATTCAACGAAAACATCTCAGAGTAGTCAGACTCTGCACTGCCCGGGTTCTGATCCATTTCGTCCATCTCTGAATCACTACAACCAAACGACCCGCTTCCGTACACAGACCTGTCATTTGGACTTCCGTTAGTCGAGAATCCCGAATCTGAGTCTAGGTGTTCTGCTGTCAGGCTCTGTTTGCTTCTGTTGACTGAATCTCCAGGGGAAAGGCTGTAAAGGTCCATGTGCGCAAAGGCAACTTTGTTTGGAGAGTCACACATTCTTTTACTTTCTTCTTGGCCTGGCTGACTGCTGCACTCCTCTTGCTCAGTTGGAGGATAAAACACTCCACCAAAATCTTCTCCACTGAAGCTTGTATCCAGCTGGGGGGCGTCCACCTTTATTTGTCTGAAAGCATCCAACAAAGGCATGCTGGGAACGGAGCCATCAAATGTATTCATAAACTCTGCCGGGCCAACATTCAGACTGTTTGTTTTGGCATCACTGATGCTGGTCAGGGGGTTAAAAATAGGAGTTTGGACAGGGGGATAGTCGGGGTAGCTTGGAGTCTGTGTTTCAGCGCTGGTTGGCAGAGGGTATGTAGTGGTCTGCAGCGTGTCTTCCATTTGCATGTTCAGACATTGCTGGAAGAAAAAACAACAGATAAATTAGTAAAAGCAGACTTATATTTGATTAATGTGACACACTTCTATGGGTTATAATAGGATTATATGACGCAGACCTGCATAAAGTAATGCAGAATGGTAAAGAGGAATAAAAACTTTCAAATCTGTTCTCTGTGGTAAAGTGGAAAGAAGAGAGCCAATGTGGGAGTAAAAAGTGTCATATACACTTTAGTACCAGTTAAGAGCCCAGAAACGCGTAGCAAAAGGGTTTCTCTTACATTCAATGATGTGCAGCAAAAAAAAACCTCAAACAGACACCATCATGTTTCATTTTAAGATAGCTAAAGCTTAATACCAAATAATAAAAAAAAATGGCAGAGACTGCCAAAAGACTAAGGTAGAGATTCATCTTCCAGCTGGAAAATGACTAAACATTTAGCCAAAGTTACAAAAGAGGGATTTAGATCAACACATAATGTTTCAGAATGGACCAGTCATATTAGCCTAATTCAAATTACAAATCTGTAATCATACATGAGAACTAGAAGCTCTAAGGAGAATCCGATTTAACTTGAGCCATTTTTTGCAAAGAAATCTTTATGCATTAGTTGTGTCTATCCAGCACACAAAATCCCACTGAAGCACATCAATGTTATTGTGGGAACAACTCTTAGGAGTGAACAGACCTGCAAGGCACTGTGAACGTGTCGAAATGCATTTCCTGATTGCTGTTTTCATTATTGCAGCAGCGTTTACAGTACATTGCATGTTATCTAGAATCCTTTTTGGGAAGTGGGACCTGAACCAGTTGCTCCAGTTCACTGATGTCTTAGAAGAAATATCTGGCAACACTAGTCTGCAGAACCAACTGTTCAAATGTGTTTTACCATTCAGATGATAAATATGTCCTTGCGTATGAAGGTTTATGAATTAAAAAAAAAAAGTTTTTTGGCATAATCCTGTGTTTGTTGCATCACTTTAAAAGTTCATCAGTTCGGTGCTATTATATGCTCACAGACTTTTCATTAAGGCCACATTTCTATAATAAAATACTTTTATTTAAGTAAGGGGAAAATAATCATAACAAAAATAAAGGTTTAAAAACATGAGTTTGTGTGTAATTAATCTGTATAATGTGATTCACAAAGAGGAGTTACTAAAATACATTTTTAATTGGATTGCATGGTAGATAATTCTACTCTACTCAGTCTACTGAGTGGCATGTCGAAGCAGCACCAGATAGTCTGCTCCACCCTTTTGCCAATGCAAATAGGAGGTGCAGCTTCTGAAAAAGTGCAGCACGCAAATCTTCACCTTTCCACCAGAAAGCAACGGCTCTACTCCTGCCGCTCCCTCT